TGAAACCTTTGAATTTTCAAACCCAGAGGGCAGTGGAAGCTGAGTCTTTGAGTAATTTAAAAGTAAAGGTTAATAAATTTTTGATTATCAATGGTGTAAATGGTCACGGGGAGAGTGTGAGTAACAGGCATTGAAATGTTTGAAAGGCCATGATTGTATTAAGTTTGGCACGCTTGCCTTCATTGCTCAGTCCTTTGAGTTGGGAAGTCATTTTAATGTTGTACATGACATTGGTGAGGCCTCTTCTGGAATACTCCGTACAGTTCTGGTCGACCAGTTATGGGAAGGATATTATTAAGTTGGAGAGCATTTTGAAGAGATTTACCAGGATGTTGCTGGGTATGGAAGGTTTGAGTTTTAAAAAAAGGCTGGATAGGTTGGGACTTTTTTTCACTGGAACATGGGAGTTTGAGAGGTGACCTTATTGAAGTTTGTAAAATAATGAGGGAGGTCATGCCTGACAAATTTTTTGGAATGCTTTGAGGAAGTAATGAGCAGGTTAGACCAAGGAGAGCCGATAGGTGTTAATGGACTTCAAGAAGGTCATTGACAAGGTGCCACACAGGAGACTGCTGAGTAAGATATGGGCCCATGGTGTTAGGAGCAAGATACCACATTGGATAGAAGATTAGCTATCTGGCAGAAAGGGTCTTTCTCAGGATGGCAGTCAGTGACAAGTGGTGTTCCGCAACGGTCAGTGTTGGGACCACAACTTTTCACTTTGTACATTAATGATCTAGATGAAGGACCTGTGGGCATTCTGGCTAAGTTTGCAGACGATACAAAGATAGGTGGAGGGACAGGTAGTACTGAGGTTACAGGGAGGCTGCAGAAGGATTTGGACAGGTTAGGAGAGTGGGCAAAGAAGTGGCAGATGGAGTACAACATGGGAAAGTGTGAGGTCATGCACTTTGGTAAGAATAATAGAAGCATGGACTATTTTCTAAATGGGGAGAAAATTCAGAAGTCTGAAGTGCAAAGAGATTTGGGAGTTCTAGTCCTGGATTCTCTCAAGGTAAACTTGCAGGAATTGAGTTAGTAGTTAGGAAGCCAAATGCAACTTTGGCATTTATTTTGAGAGGACTTGAATATAAAAGCAGGGATGGACTTCTGAGGCTCTATTAGGCTCTGCTGAGGCCACATTTAGAGTATTGTGTGCAGTTTTGGGTCCCATATCTTAGGAAAGATGTACTGGCCCTGAAGCAGATTCAGGGGATGTTCACAAGAATGGTCCCAGGAATGAAAAGCTTAACATATGAGGAACGTTTGAGAACTCTGGGTCTGTACTCGATGGAGTTTAGAAGGGGAGTGCGGAATCTAATTGAAACTTACAGAATACTGAATGGCCTGGACAGAGTGGATGTTAGGAAGATGTTTCCATTGGTAGGAGAGACTAGGACCCGAGGGCACAGCCTTAGAGTAAAGGGAAGACCTTTTAGAATGGAGATAAGTAGAAATGTCTTCAGCCAGAGAGTGGTGAATCTTTGGAAGTCGCTGTCACAGAAGGCTGTGGAGGCCAGGACACTGAGAACATTTAAGACTGAGATAGATAGGTTCTTGATTGTCACGGGGATCAAGGATTATGGGGAGAAAAGGGGAGAATGGGGTTGAGAAACGTATTAGCCATGATTGAAAGGCGGAGCAGACTTGATGGGCTGAATGGCCTAATTTCTGCTCCTATGTCTTATGTCCTTAATGGTAGTTATCTTTTCCTTAGGATGGGGGATTTCAAGACTAGGGGGCACATTTTAAAGTAGAGAGTGGAGAGAGATTTAAAAAGACACATGAGGGACAATTTATTTTACATAGAGGGTGGTTCGCATGTGGAATGAACTTCCTGAGGAAGCGATGGATGTGGCTACAATTACAACATTTAAAAGATTTTGGATAAGTACATGAGCAGGAAAGATTTGGAAGGATATGAACCAGGAGCAGGCAGGTGGGGCTAGTTTACTTTGGGATTATGTTCAGCATAGACTAGTTGGACCGAAGTGTCTGTTTCCATGCCATATGACTCTGGTAGAGTAGGCTGAATGGGCTGAATGGCCTCCTCCTGTTCCTATGCCCGTAGATATTGGTGTTGTGTGTTTGGAAGGTGCTATTGAAGAACCGTTTGGTGAGTTGATGCAGTGCATCTTGTAGGTAGTACATCTGTCCCTACTATGCATTAGTGTTATAGGTTTTGTTTAAGGGCGTTAGCATCTTGGAGTAACCTTGTAATGATGTCATGTAGTTACATATTGCTGGTTGGAGCTTGAACACACTGGAAGATTCTATGTTAGATAAAAGACTCTGGAAGACACACTAGAGCGAGACCCTCTGAAAGTAGCACAAAGAGCAGATAGACATGAACACTCAAAGAAGATAGATTTGTCCTACTTAATATAACTGTTACAGCCTGGTATATTTATAATTACCATGTATAGTGGTTTGTAGTAAGGAAGTATAATAGTGTTACTTTGAAGTCTAGGCCTGAAAATAGTTCTTTGACTTTTCCTCAAACAGTCTGTAATTAACCCGAAATCATAATGTGGGATCAAATACACAATTAAAAAAAGGGAGAAAATTTTGAAAGGTGCCTTTCAAGCAAGCTGCTTTATCCTCAATTGGGACAAGCTACTTAGATGTGTTGAATGCATTTAAATAAATATTACATGGTCTATAACAGATACAATGTGAAGATGCCAGTGTTGGACTGGGGTGGACAAGGTCAGAAGTCTCACAACACCAGGTTACAGTCCAACAGGTTTATTTGAAATCACTAGCTTTCGAAGCACTGTTCCATCGTCATGTGAAGTGAAGCACACAGGACAGAATTTATAAGCAAAGAGATCAAAGATCATACAAATAGTGTGAGTGGAGTGTCTACAGGCTGAATAATAAGTCTGTGCAGGTAATCAAAAGTGTTGGACAGTGTGAATAAAGTGTCAATGGCTGAATAGCAAATGAAGGGATGGCCAACGTTATTCAGTCTGTAGACACTTCACTCACACCATTTGTACAATCTTTCGATCTATCTGCCTGTGACTGTGTCTCCCTTCACTTCGGCTGATGAACGAGCAGCGCTTTGAAAGCTTGTGATTTGAAAAATCCTTGACCAGATGAGATTCATCGAAAGTGTTGGAGGAGGTGTCTATAGACTTACTTAATTCACTAGTGGCTGTATTTCAAAATTCTATAATTTCTGGCAAGGCTTCTACGACAGGAAAGTAGCAAATGTAACTATACTATTTATAAATGTAATGATGGGAAGAATGGAGAGTTACAGATTTGTTGATTTGATGTTAATTGTAGGGAAACAATGAGAATATGTTATAAAGTATGTGGCTATTAGGCACTTTGAAAATAACGATAAAACTGGACAACCAATTTTGACAAACCTGTTCAATTTTTTTGTGACATTACTTGTAGCATAGGTAAAGAATAACCAGTGAATGTGGTATATTTGCATTTGTAGAACACTTTTAATAAGGTCCCACACAAATTAGTTAACGAAGTTAAAGAGAATAGGATTGAGAGTAACATACAGGCATAGATTGAGAATTGGCTATTAGACAGAAAACAGACAGTAGGAATAAATAAATCAGTCTCAGGATGGAAGACTGTGACCAGCAGGTACTATAAGGATCAGTGTGAAGTTATCCACTTGGATGGAAAAAACAGAAAAAATATTTTGTAAATTGTTAGAATGGTAAGCATTGGTGTTCATTGGGACATCTGGGTGTCCTTGTTCATGAGTCATGTAAAGCTAACATGTAGGTGCAATGGTGGTGGTATGTTGACCCTTCAACACATACCATTCTTTGAACACAGAAGTAGAGATGTGCTGCTGCAAATACATAGAGCCTTGGTTTGACCATACCTGGGGTATTGTGCACAATTTGCTCTCCTTATCTAAGTAAGGATCTATTTATCATAGAGGGAGTGCAAAGAAGGTTCATTAGACTAATCCCTGGGAAGGCAAGGTTGTTTTATGAGGAGAGATTGCAGGTATTGGGCTTGGAATCTCTAGTGTTTTGAAGAATGAGAAGAACTATGAGAATAATTGAAACTTACAAATTCTTCCAGCATGTGACAAGATGGATGGTGAGTAGAATGTTTCTCCTGGCTGGAGAGTAGAGAACCAATAGACCTAATCTCAGAATAAGTGGTAGGCCATTTAAAACTTAGGTGAGGAGGAATTTCTTCACCTTGAGGTTGTGAAATGTGGAATTCTCTATTCCAGGCAACTGAGGAAGCTTAATCATTGAGCATGTTCAAAATAGAAATTGATAGGTTCTGGAGACTAATGACATTAAAGGATATGGAGATAGCATGGGTTTATATGTGACCAAACACTCTGATGCATGCTAGAACAACATTCAAGAAGCTGGACACCATTCAGAACAAAGCAGACTTCTTTATTAGTAGTCCATTTACCAGTTTATACATTCACTCCCTTCACAATTAACATACCATGGTTGCAGTGTGTATTATCTCTGAGACATCTATGTGGCATAGACATGGTGGGCAGAAGGGCCTGCAACATTGACTGAGAGATGAAGTAGGGAAAAACTCCGTGTTCACTCCCCAAATAGATGTTAATGTCTGGTTAACCACGTTGTCAAGACTTGCTAATGTCTAAATATTTAAAGTTAAAGCAAAAGGTGGTGCCTAATACCTGTCCAAGCATGCATAAATAGGGAACAGCTATAATACTAGGTGAGTGTGAGAAGGGCAAGACTGGATAAGTCAATAAACAAAAGGTATATGTCCCTGTTTTAATCTTATCAAATGGCTTGGATCCAGTTTAAAAAATGACACTGTTTAATTGGTTCAAACATGCATGTGAGAATGGTTTACATTTAACCTCAGGTTTCCTCTTTTTTTTCCTCTTTTGTGAAACAAGCACTTGATATTCTGTGTTTCCAATGGATCACAACAGATTATGATCTTATCCTATGGGAAATCTTAGTCATCTTCTATGGCTAGCTTTGAGATAATTTAGTTTGGAGGACTGATTGTAAATAACAATTTTTGCAATTTAACTTTATAAATAAATGATAACCTTTTATATAATAACAAAAAGGAATCAGTTGTAAATGTACATACTAAGAGGGATGTACTTGCCATAAGTACAGAGTCAGAGAAGGAAATATACACTGGTTGGTCTTCTGACCATTTATTAACTTGTGCAGGATTTCACAAGACAGTTCTTTTAACTTGTGCTAAATATCTTATACATTGTCAGGGAGGGGGCTCTTGTGGCATGTGGTAGAGTCGATAATTCTGAGTCAGGAGGACTGGGTTCAAGTTCCATTTACTCCAGAGGTATGTAAAAGCATCTCTGAACAGATTGATTAGAAAAAAAATGTTCGTTTGTTCATCAGGAGGAGGTGAAAAGGATGTCAACAATGAAGAACAATAGGGGTGTAACGTAATTTCTGAAAGAAAGAAAGAAAATGGGGCTTGTGGAACTACTCCTATTTCTGTAGGCCTCATACAAAGATAATGATGAAAATGAGTTGGTATAGCTTACAAAGGACAGCTGTTAGAAAATGAAGCCCCTTAAAATATATTATCCGTAACAGAACTGTTTAAACATACCATCCAAGCTAAACTTTCACAAAAATTGCAATGGTTCATAATTACCATATTTTAAGAAAGAAAAAGTTGAATTTATTTTACACATTCCACAACCCCAGGATCTCCCAAAATACTTTACAACAAATTCAACACTGTTGAGGTATTGATGCTGTTTGTAATCTCGGGAAATAGGTAAGAAAGTAAGTTACAATAAAGGAATAAGAAAATTACATATGGACATGGACATGGACAGGTTAAGTGAATGGACTAAATATTGGCAGATGAAGTTTAACATGAATACAATTGAGCTTATCAATTTTGGTCAGAAGAATTGTAGAAGAAACATGTAACTTTACACGTTTTGGTACAGATGGATAGAATAGAATTCATAGAATCCATACAGTGTGGAAACAGGCCCTTCAGCCCAACAAGTCCACACTGACCCTCAGAACATCCCACCCAGACCCATTCCCCCTATAACCCACCTAATCTACACGTCACTGAACACAACGGGCAATTTAGCATGACCAATCCACCTAGCCTGCACATCTTTGGACTGTGGTCCTGGGTATCTTTGTGCATGAATGGAATTTTGGCATTTATTTATAAAGGAATGGAGTGTGAAACTAGGCAAGTGCTGTTGCAACAGTGCAAGGTATTGATGAAACCGCATCTAGAATACCATAAACAGTTTTGGTCCCCCTTACTTGAGAAAAGATGTAACTGCATTGGAAACAGTTCAGAGAATGTTCACTAGATTAATTCCAGAGATGAAAGCCTTGGTTTATGAGGAGAGGTTGAGAAGTTTGGGCCTATACTCATGCAATTTAGAAGGATGAGAGGAGATCTCATTGAAGTATATAAGACGCTAAAGGGAATTGACAAAGTGCAGATGTTTCCTCTTGTGCGGTAATCTAGAACAACACATCATAGTTTTAAGCTAAGGGGTGGCAATTTAAAACAGAGGTGAGGAGGAATTACCTGTCTCAAGGGCTTGTGAATCTATGAAATTCACTACTCCAGAATGTGTTGGATACCAGAATACTGAATAAATGTAAGGAGGAGATAGATTTTTTTAATGAGTAATAGGCCAAAGAGTTATGGGAAGCAGGCAGGCAAGTGAGATTATATTCTTACTTGATGTATGTCCTTTAAATTGTGGAACTACTCCTATTTCTGTAGACCTCTAAGAATTTTAAAAACAATGAAACTGGACAGTATAACAATGCAACAAAACAAAGGCTGAGAAAGTAAGAAAGAATTGCAAAATACTTAAAACTCATATAGCACCTTTCATCACCTTATACAATTTCAAAGCACTTCACAGTCTTTGAAGTATTATTGAGGTGTAGTCATTATTTTAATACAGGAGTTCCAAGTCATACTTACTACAGTCACTGCATTGCTTAAGTACCTCAATTTCCCTTCATTCTTGCCTTTATGGTTTTCCTGAGCTTCCCACAGGTTAGAAATAGGTAATCTGGTTCTAGAACCTGATCACCAGCAATTTGAATGTACAGACTAGTAGTTTAGTAATCTATTTCTTCTCCAGTTTTCCATTTTTTTTGTACTGCTTAGTTTCCACCTGGTATCTCAAAATTGTATTGGACCAGAGATTAGACGTATGTCTCATTTATATTGCTATATTTCTTTACACGTCAACACTATCAGTGATATGCTTCTTTAGAAACTAATCAGTAGACATATCTCGTGCATGGAACTGATTATTTGCAATGTTTTTACACTACTAGGAGGTTGAAGTACAACACATTTGGTAAACTAAATTTTAGCTTGCAATGTCATACCAGTGAAGAACAGACTTATACAACATTTACACTTCATAGAGTCTGATATACTACGCTGCTGAACCCACTTCTTCATGTCTATGACAAAAGTCAAAACTGTGTTTATTTATCTGCTGCTTTGTAGATTGGATTGGTGAAGGGTATGTTTCAGATTTTCAAAGAAGCAAACTGATGACAGAGTTAAAAAATGGTCTATGTTATTTTCTAATCAACCTGTTCAGAGGTGTTATTACACACCTCTGGAGCAGGTGGGACAACCTAGGCCTCCTGGGACAAAGGCAGGGATATTACCACTGTGCCGCATGAACCCTAATGGCCTCTTTTCTTCTCTATTTGTCTTTTCTTTCTCTTTCATACATCCAGAAGTGGTAGATAGGAATGACATTTCCTACCAATAGATCACCTGTGGAATGGTCCTTTTTTTTAAATACTGTAGCCAGAAGTGCTCTTACACACAACTGTACGGCTTTCCCATCACCAAGACATTTTTTTTTAACAATTAACAACCACCAATATCATGCAGCCAATGAGAAATTTACATGCAAAGTCCATTTAGGGCAATGCAAAATGTTGGGGGGAGGCAGGGGCGGGTGGATGTAAGGAGAGTGGAAAGGGACAAAATTAAAATGGGTTTGGAGGGGGAAATAAAGCACTGTATCCCCTCTCTTTAAAGGCATTGAGAGCATTGATGGACATTGTGTGCTCCTTGTCCAATAACACCTGGCCACAAACTTAACCATGGAAGAGGGGCAGACGGTCTGCAGATATGACATCTTCCATAGCCTGCTGCCTGGACCTGTTAATAGCCAGCCTTGCAAGGCCCATTAGAAGGTCCTCTGATTTGCCCACACTCCTTTATACCGATGCCCAAAGATCAGGAGCATGGGGCTGAAGTGCAACCAAAAATGCAATAAAAAATTTTTTCAAATAACTAAAACGGGGGTGCAATTACCCACAACCAGTGTATACTTTTTAAAGGGTCACCAGCCATCAATTGTACCTGGCTAAGTTAGTCACATTTTGAATGGAGTAGCAGCTGCATAATTACGTACTGTACCAATGCACTCGAGGAAGGAAAGTGGAAAGCTTCCATCTAGTGGTCTGCATTGGAAAGTGCAGAAGGGTAGAACTAGTTGAAACTGGTATTCAGCTCAGCTGTGATTGCATGCCTCATTAAATAGCCTGACTAAGGTTTGTACATAAGTAATAATGACTTTGATAGGGGACTGAAGGATGTCCAATAGGAACCATTTTATAATTTGACTCATTTGTAGTTTGCTTCCGATGGATGGAAGAGAACAGCGACCCAGCTGGTTTATTTGCAGGGAGGGCATCACCCTCTCCTACTCCGAGCCATCCCTGAAATGACAGTAAATGCTAAAGTTTCAGCCGGTCTGCCTACCCTTAGGCTTATTGAGGCTGTGGTCAGTTAAACATCTAATTTTGCCTTACACCAAGCTCAAAGGCAGGAAGGCTAACACTTCCAGGTGGGGTGGCGGGCAGGCAGGCATCTCCTCTGTTGTCCTACCCCAAGATTGTTCAATTGGTTTATTGGAAGTCTTGGTGATTTTATTTGTCTTGCTCCCTTAGAATCTGCTTATGCCTTGCAGCTAGATTCCCATGACATTACTTCTGCCTACGCGACCTCAAATATATCCAGCTGGAACTGGCAACTCTGATTACAACATTGAGGTAAATTAGAACTAACTTCATTGGCTGTAAAGCACTTTAGGATGGTATGTGGTTTGAAAGGTGCTCTCCAACTGCAAGTTCCTTTCTTCGAGAACTTCAGATAAAGGAGGAAGAAATACAAGAAGATAGATGAGATGAAAGCAATATAAATTTTTAACTGTAAAAATAATTTTCAGTGAGATCCTGCAAAGAAAACAAAATATGGTAACCAAATTGCTAATTTAGAAATTCCATATTTTCACAGGTTTAACTTCCAATTTGTACTCAATAAACAAATTTGGGACAATAGCCTAGATTTTAATGACTGGGTTTTTTAAAAAAAATTGATTCATGTGATGTGGGCCAATATTTATTACCAAACCTAGTTGCACTTGAGAAGGTGGTGGTGAGCTGCCTTCTTGAACTGCTGCAGTCCTTTTTGATGTCGGAACACTAAGTGATATCCGGGAGAGAGTTCCATGTTTTTAATCTATTGACACTAAAGGAATGGCATTATATTTCCATGTCAGAATGGTGAGGAGCTTGGAGGGGAACTTGGAGGTAATGTTCTTATGTATTCATTGCAGAATTCCTAACCTCTGAGCTGCTCTTGTAGCCACTGTATTTATATTGCTAGTTAAGTTTCTGGCCTATGGTAAATCCCAAGATGGTGATAGTAAGTTATTCAGTGATGATAACGCCATTGAATATGGAGGTGATTCTCCTTCATTGGAGATGATCATCTTGGTACTTGTGTGATGTTACTTGCTACCTCTCAGCCTAAACTTTGATATTGACCAGGTTTTACTGCATTTGGACATGGACTGCTCTTATGTATATGAGTTGCGAATGGTACTGAACATTGTGCAATCATCAGCAGACATTGCCACTTACAATTTAATGACGAACAGAGGCTGATTCATGAAGCAGCTGAAGATGTTTGGGTCGCAGAGATGTCCTGGAGCCGGATGACTGATCTCCAACATGCCAGGTATGACTCCAACCAGTGGAGAATTTGCTCCCTGATTGCCATTGATTACATTTTTAATCGGAATCCTTGATGCTACACTCGGTTAAGTGTAGCCTTGATGTCAAGGACAGTCATTTTCACCTCACCTCTGGATTTCATCCATTTCTGAATCAAGGCCCCAAATAATGTCAGGAATGGAGTGGCCTTTGTGGACTGTAAATTGAGCATCAGTGTGCAGGTTATTGCTAAGCAAGTGCTGCTTGATTGCACTGTTGGTGACATCTTCCATCACTTTACTGATGATTGAGAATAGACTAAAGGGACAGTAATTGGCCAGGTTGGATTTGTCCTGCTTTTTGTTCAGGACGTACTTGGGCAATTTTCCACATAACCAGGTAAATAACGGTTTGTAGTTGCATTGGAACAACTTGGCCAGGGGTGCAGTAAGTTCTGGAGCACACATTGTTGATATTGTTACCGGAAAGTTGTCAGGACCCATAGCTTTTGCACAATCCAGTGCCTTTAGCCATCATAATATCACATGGAGTAAAGCGATTTGGCTGAAGACTGACACTGGTGATGCTGGGGACCATTGGAAGAGGCTGAAATGACTCATTCACTTGGGTCTTCTGACTGAAGGTGATGCAAATGCTTCAGCTTTATTTTTGTGCTCATGTGCTGTGCTTCCCATCATTGGGGTTGAGGATATTTGTGAAGCTTCCTCCTCCAGTGAATTGTCACCTGCCATTCACGACTCTATGACAGAACTGTTGGTTGTTGAATCACTTTTTGCCTTGTCTATCACTTGCTAGCTATGATGTTTGGCACATAACTGGTCCTGTTTTATAGCTTCAACAGGTTTACTTCACATTTTTAGGTATGTTTGGTGCTGGTCCTGCCATGTCCTCTTGAATTTGTCATTGAACCAGGCTTGATGTAATGGTAGAGTGGAAGATTGTCTTAGAGGAGATTGTGGATTGTGTTTGAGTTCAGCTCTGCTGCTGCTGATACAAACATAAGAAATGGGAGCAGGAGTAGGTCTTTTGGTCCCTCAAGCCTGCCTACCATTCAATCGAGTCATGGCTGATTTGCTGCAGGCCTCAACTCCTCTTTAGTGCAGACTCTGTCAAGTCCCCTCAGAATCATATGTTTCAGTAAGATCACTCTTTGTTCTTCTAAACTCTAGCGAATAAAGGTCTAACCCGTTCAGCTATTTTTGATAAGTCAACCCCTTCATTCAAAGAATTGAGCTGTTTTGTCTGCCCATACGGTAATCATCTCTTAAATATGAGGACCAGAATTGTACATATTACTCCATGTGCAGCCTCAGCACAACATTTACAGTTGTAACAAGACTGCCTTTTTTCAAACTCCAATCCCTTGACAAGAAAGGCCAAAACTCCATTTGTCGTCTTAATTACTCGCTGCACCTGCATGCTAAGTCTGTGTTTCGTGCCCAAGAATACACTGATCCTCTGTGCTGCATTTTTTTTGGAGCATCTCTCTATTTAAATAATAGTTTGCATTTTAATTTTTTCTACCAAAGTGCATGACTTAACATTTTCCTACATTTAATTCCAACTGCCAAGTTTTTGCCCACTCTCTGAACCTACCTAATATCCTCTTGCAGATTCATGATGCTCTCTTTGTTTCTCTGCACCATCATGGCACATCTCTGATCCAATGAGTACATTTCTGCACCATCATGTTGCACTTGGACCCAAAGACAATTAATATTTAAATACCATTAATGCAGATCCAAGGACTCTTTGTGTGCAGGGACAGGTACTTGACACATGGACACCAGAAAACATCTGACTTGCTCTCTTAGTGCTCACTTAGTTAGCACCTCTCCTCTCAGCCACACTTTGAAGTTCATAGTAGTTCTATTTTGCCTTGCTGTTTAACGGGCTTGTCCAATTCATTAAGGGCAACATGTACAATCCGGAGCTTGGATAAGATCAGGGGGTCTGTCTCACTACAGACTGGGCTGTGGGCTTTGTCACCTGCAGATGTAGTGCAACCAGTCAAGGAATTAATAGTCAGGGACAGTCATAGGAACAGGGGTCAAAGGAGAACGTGCTTCAGGAGAGTGGGAGTGGGGATAGGTCATGGCCCACTATGGGACTGAAGTGAAGGAGGAGAGTTGGAGTTGTAGTTGAAGATGGTGGGTGGGGATGTGTGGAGTTCAGGGAGAGATGGGCTATCCAGCGAGTGCAAGGTAGAAAAGGACGTGGAGGTTCTGGTGGGGAGCGGGCTGTTGGTGGACCTGACAAATAGGCTAAACCTGGTGCTCAATGTTGAGTGTGACCTGTGTTTCTTTCCATAAGGACAAGTGCTATGTCTGACCTATGAATGGAAAATGGCTGCAACCACACCCAGAGTGGGTGGGATCAGCATCCAGTTATTGTCCAAAAACACAGGCAACATGAGGCCCTTCAAGGGGTAATAACATTAATCGTGTACCTGCAGAGTGCAGATTGACATATTTTGCTATAATTGTTGTGCATGAGGTGTATCTATGACAGGAGCAAATACTGGTCACAATATTAATTATATCACTGGTTGTTGCAAATTGAAGATCTTGGTATTCTGGGAGCTGCCACGATGCCCATACCTTAAAGAACACTTGTGATTGATGCTGATGAACTGGGAGGGCAGGAGCAGTCTAATGTTTTTCTGCACAGCCTGTACATTTTAAAGATGTCCAGAGGAGGAGCCTACAACTTGTATCTGTGAGGTGTGTTCTGACTAAACAGTGGGTCATAATGGAGAAGATGGTCTTGTCTGGGCTTGCTGCAATACAGCATCCCTTGGTACTGATTCCTAACTGTCAACACAATGTCATTACAGTACTGCAACTTTACCTGTCTGATTCTCCTCCTCTTGCCCCAGTCCATACATAGTGATAGACAATTCAGATTTAATTTTTGGATACAATCACAACACCATTTACAGTGATCAAACATTGAAGTTAATAAAAACCTGAGACTCATTTAGAACAGATGGGTGAGTACTTGCTGCTCAACGATCATTGCATTGAATACAAAGACTAATATAAAAGGTCATTGTCAACAAATAGTGCATCAATTATGGAAGCAAGTAATACAGAATCCATTCTAAATGTTGTCTTCCCCTCTTTAAGACAATGACACATTGTGAAACTATTCCACTGTGTTAGCACACTGCAGTATTTAACCTCTGAGATAATTTGTGCAACGTAGGCAACAGCTAGCACCCTCACACCCAAAATTCCACTATCTCTTCCTCCCAAACTCGGACCATTCACACTTTGAATAAGAAATAAATCTTAATTTCATGTTTCAATTTTACGGAGATAACAGTTTGGAAAATGCTGTTTGTAGCACAGCTGTACCTTCCTATTTCCACCTCCAAAACAATACTTTGCTAAATCTCTGTACCTCACTTAAGACTATCCTTACAATTGATAAAATATCATCAACTTGAAATGTTAATTTTAGGTGGAATCTTATTGAGCCATTGGGAAATCTGCACTGTCATTTCCAGAAAAGGCAGCCTCAACACATGCCACTCAGGCAGGCCTCATCCAAAATTGGGACCTAGTGGACAATATACCAACCAGCTCTTGCATGCAGCAGCACCACAGAGGAGGCTGTGGTTGCTTTTGTAACTACATGACCTCAGAGCCCCAGTTACAGGGAACCCAGGTCAAAGGCAAGTGGTGTTGCTGTAGATCTCCGGTTGGTGTCATGGGGAGTTCTGGGTGGTGGCCAAGCACTTAAGTATTTCTTAATTAGCCTCAAATAGTAGTGGGGCATGAAGGTCAACTGTGAGCCTTCCTGCCCAGAACTTAACGCTTGTTAATTGGCCTTTTTCTGGCTAATTAACTGTCCTTTCTGCCTTGAAGTGGGTGCCAGAGTTGGGAGCAGAAGATTCCACCCTGTTTCCTTGTACAAATGCTGACCAACTTATTGAGTTTCTCCAGCTTTTCTTTTATATTTATTTCAAATTTGCAGTATTTTGTTTTTGATTTTGTCTTTGAGTCATATAGCACCGAAACAGACACTTCGTTCCAACTTATTCGGGCCGACCAGATATCCTAATCTAGTGGCATTTGCCAGCATTTGGCCCATAGCCCTCTGTACCCTTCCAGATGCCTTTTAAGTATTGTAATTGTACCAGTGTCCACTACTTCCTGTGGCAGCTCATTCCATATACGTACCAACCTCTGCATGAAAAAGTTGTCCCTTTTAAACCTTTCCCCTCTCACCTTAAACCTATGCTCCTCTAGTTTTGGACTCCCCTACCCTGGGGAAAAGACCTTGGTTATTTACTCTTTCCATGCCCTTCATGATTATATAAATTTCTATAAGGTTACCCCTCAGCCTCCAATGGTCCAGGGAACATAGCCCCAGCCTATCCCTGTAAATCAAATCGTCCAAACCCTGGCAACATCCTTGTAAATCTTTTCTGAACTCTTTCAAGTTTCACAACATCTTTCCTATAGCAGAGAAACCAAAACTGAATGTAGTATTCCAAAAATGGCCTAACCAATGTCCTGTAGAGCTGCAACATAAACTGCCAACTCCTATACACAATGCACTGACCAATAAAGGCAAACATACCAAACGCTTTCTTCACTAACCTGTCGACCTGCGACTCCACTTTCAAGGAACTATGTCTTAAGACCATAAGACATAGGATCAGAAATTAGGCCATTCGGCCCATCGAGTCTGCTCCGCCATTCAGTCATGGCTGATAAGTTCCTCAACCCCATTCTCCCGCTTGCTCCCCGTAACCCTTGATCCCCTTGATAATCAAGAACCTATCTATCTCAGTCTTAAATGTACTCAATGACCTGGCCTCCACAGCCTTCTGTTGCAGTGAATTCCATAGATTCACCACTCTCTGGCTGAAGAAGTTTCTCCTGATCTCCATTCTAAAAGGTCTTCCCTTTACTCTAAGGCTGTGCCCTCGGGTCCTCGTCTCTCCACCAATGGAAGCATCTTCCTAACATCCACTCTGTTCAGGCCATTCAGAATTCTGTAAGTTTCAATTAGATCCCACTCCCCCCCCCACCCCAATCCTTCTAAACTCCAATGAGTATAGTCCCAGAGTCCTCAAACATTCCTCATATGTTAAGCTTTCCATTCCTGGGACCGTTCTCGTGAACCTCCTCTGAACCCGCTCTAGGGCTAGTACATCCTTCCTGAGATAGGGGGCCCAAAACTGCACACAATACTCCAAATGTGGCCTGACCAGAGCCTCAGTAGTACATCCCTGCTTTTATATTCAAGTTCTCAAAATAAATGCCAACATTGCATTTGCCTTCCTGACTACTGACTCAACCTGCAAGTTTACCTTGCGAGAATCCTGGACTAGAACTTCTGAATTTTCTCCCCATTTAGAAAATAGTCCATGCTTTTATTCTTCTTACCGAAGCGCATGACCTCGCACTTTCCCACATTGTAGTCCATCTGCCACTTCTTTGCCCACTCTTCTAACCTGTCCAAATCCTTCTGCAGCCTCCCCGTAACCTCAGTACTACCTGTCCCTCCACCTATCCCTGTATCATCTGCAAACTTAGCCAGGATGCCCACAGTTCCTTCATCTAGATCGTTAATGTATAAAGTGAAAAGTTGTGGTCCCAACACTGACCCTTGCGGAACACCACTTGTCATTGGCTACCATCCTGAGAAAGACCCTTTTATCCCCATTCTCTGCTTTCTGCCTGACAGCCAATCTTCTATCTGTGCTAGTACCTTGCTTCTAACACCATGGGCCCTTATCTTACTCAGCAGCCTCCTGTGCGGCACCTTGTCAAAGGCCTTTTGGAAGTCTAGGTAGATAACATATATTGGCTCTCCTTGGTCTACCCTGCTCATTACTTCCTCAAAAGAATTCTAGCAGATTTGTCAGTCATGACCTCCCCTTCATAAAACCATGCTGACTTTTCCCTATTTCACTATACACTTCCAAATATTCAGAAATCTCATCCTTTACAATGGACTCCTAAATCTTACCCACGATCGAGGTTAGGCTAATTGGCCTGTAATTTTCCATCTTTTGCCTTACTCCCTTTTTAAACGGGTGTCATGTTAGCGATTTTCCAGTCCTCTGGGACCCTCCCTGACTTTAGCGATTCCTGAAAGATCACCACTAACGCTTCCACTATCTCTTCAGCTATCTCCTTTAGAACTCTGGGGTGCAGTCCATCTGATCCAGGTGATTTATCCACCTTCAGGCCAATCAGTTTTACTAACACCTTTTTCTTGGTGATGGCCACCATACTCAGCTCTGCCCCCTGCCTCTCTTGAATTTTTGGGAGATTACTCATGTCTTCCACCATGAAGACTGACGCGAAGTAATTATTCAGTTCCTCAGCCATTTTCTTGTTCCCCACTATTATCTCTCCACTGTCACTTTCCAGTGGTCCAATGTCCACTTTTGCCTCTCTTTTGCCCTTTTATATATCTAAAGAAACTCTTAGTCTTCATTTATATTACTGGCTAGCTTACCCTCCTATTTAATCTTCTCCCTCCTTTTTTTTGTTGCCCCCTGTAGATCTTTGTAATCTTCCCAGTCCTCTGGTTTCCCACTGCCCTTCGCCACATTATATGTTTTCTCTTTTGCTTTTATGCTATCCCTGACTTCCTTAGTCAGCCATAGTTGCCTCATCGTCCCTATACCATGCTTCTTTTTCCTCGGGATGAATGTTTGCTGTGTCTCCTGAATTACTCCCAGAAACTCCTGCCATTGCTGTTCCACTGTCTTTCCTGCTAGGTTCCTCTTCCAGTCAATTCCAGCTCCTCCCTCATACCTCTGGAGTTGTCTTTATTCAGCTGTAATACTGTTACCTCTGATTCTGTCTTTTCCCTCTCGCATTGCAGGGTAAATTCAATCATGTTATGATCACTGCCTCCTAAGGGTTCTTTCACCTTAAGCTCCCTTACCAAGTCTGCCTCACTGCACAACACTAAATCCAGTATAGCCTGTTCCCTTGTGGGCTCCACCACGAGCTGCTCCAAAAAGCCATCTGATAGGCATTCCACAAACTCCTTTTCTTGCAATCGACTGCCAACGTGATTTTCCCAGTTCACCTGCAAATTGAAATCCCCCATAATCACTGTGACTTTGCCTTTCTTACACCAGGCGATAGAAAAGGTGTGTATCTTGTGCCCCCAGCTCCTGACTACTGTTTGGAGGCCTATACACAACTCCAACTATGTTTTTTTTTTACCTTTTGCGATTCCTCAATTCTACCCACACAGATTCTACACCATCTGTGACCCTACTTCGTTTCTTCCTATTGATTTAATTTCATTGCTTACTAAAAAGGCAACCCTATCCCCTTGGCCCACCTGCCTATCTTTTCGATTGGATGTATATCCTATCTTCTTAGAACTTATCTCTTTGACCAAGCTTTAAGACATCTGCCCTAATATCTCCTGATATGGTTCTGTGGCATGTTTTGTTTTATAATGTCTATGAAGCACTCTGGGGCAGTTTATTACATTAGAAGCAAAACATAAATACCAACTGTTGATATTTACACGCTAAACCAGGTGTCGAGGTGCAACAAAATAAAATTATTTTAACAGGCACTTTGGTTCATAAATCCTGTTTCTGGAGAAGCAGACTTTAATCTTTGTATCTTTTATTTGTAGGTCAGTTGTTCAAAAAGATCAAGTTTTTAAAAATACATACGTTTACGTTTATTTGTAAAGAACACTCCTATTCCCTTAGAGACAGTAGGAACTGCCGATGCTGGAGTCTGAGATAA